CCAAAGGCCCCTCAGGGAATTAGGGAATAGAAGGGAATCTTCCTAACTCTAGATAAGAGTATCTATCCAAGAAGATTGCAAGTCCAAAAACCAATTCTCATAGTGAACATAAGGATGGACTCTGGTTTAACGATCCAGAAATTGAGGGCGGGCACGGGTGGCTCACGCCTTTGTATCCAGCTGCTCCTGGGACCGGGAGCGGGCGAGCTCGAGGGTGAGTTTCGGAAACCAAGGCCTGGAGGGGGGCAAGAGCGAGACTCGTCTCTACATAAAATAGAAAAATATTGGCCAACGTAATATTAATAAATAAAATCAGCCGGGGGCATGGCGCATGCCTGTAGTCCCAGCTACGTCTGGGAGGCTGAAGCAGGAGGATGCTTGAGCCCAGGAGTTTTGAGGTTGCTGTGAGCTAGGCTGACGCCACGGCACTCACTCGTAGCCTAGGCAACCAAAGCAAGACCTCTTGTCTCAAAAAAAAAAAAAAAAAAAAAAGAGAGTGGGAGAAGCTTGTTGTTGTCAGTGACTTATAGGAGAGGGCAGGTCAGCTATTGGATAGTCTTAGGGAGATTTGGTGACCAAGGACCACAGATCAGCGCTGGATGGCTCAGATAAATAGACCAATGTGGAGAGGCCCTAAGGAGAGTTGGGCAAGGGCTGTAGAGCTCCTAGCAGAGAGGGCAGGGCCTGGAGGCATAGATTAGGAATCCAGGTATAGGCTGGGAGATTTCAATGACTATGTAAATAAGCATACAAAATCAGCACCTGTTTATTTGGCTCCCATGGCTGAAGGCTGATTAGAGTGGGTCAGCCCTCTGAGAGTGTGGGTGTCTGAGCATGTAATGGCCCCTTTAAGATATCAGGCTCTGATTTGTGGTCCTGAAAATCTCTAGCTGACACATCCTCCTGGCTCTGGGTTTGGGATTAGCTCATGGGATGGGGCTGATGAAATCCCAGGAAATTCAGTCTTTATTGGCTTTAGGCCCAGAGGCCCTTTCCAAACAGCCAAGAGGGTCTACACAGGGCTCTTGTTCTTTCTGAGAGAAGAAAATGCCCCCACCCCATACCACTTCCGTTGAGGAGCAGCATGAGAGGAGACTGGGCCCTCCCATCCTGAGCCTGGATTAGGTAGGAAGGAGGAGTCTGCATTTGTCTGGAGGAGCCTGCAGTTTTCCCCCTAAATAGAGGGGCCTGGGAAACTGAAGTGTCCACATCCAGGAAGTCCTAGGAGGTCAAGGTGAGGCTTGTCTTTCTCTCCCTGTCCTTCCTGTCTTCCTCACCCTCTCTCTTAGCATCTTTCCTTTCACATCTCCATTCTTGCCCTGCTGGTCATGCAACTTCATCTCTTAAAGAGTATTTTTTTCTTCTTTTCCAGCTCTGTCTCCATCTCCTCACCACTTCTTTTTCTCTCTACAGCTGTAGCCAGCTGGAAGGGCATTCAGGTACCTGGGCAGGCTCCTCCCTGCGAAGGACCTTCAGCTTCCTCTGGGGCATGACCGGAAAGGCCAAGGTAGGAGTCAGGTGGGGAAGCAGGAGGCCTGGGACCCACTACCCTCCCCTATTCCCTTTCTCTTCATCTTACCATCACCGCCCCTACCCCCAACCCCACCCCCATTTCAACTTTCCCTATTAGAGACTCAGGGCAATAGTTCAAATTTTAAGGGAACACATGCTATCTCTCTTAGCCTCCGGCTGTGTCCCAGTAAATTACCTTTTCTCTGCTTTCCCCCATGCCTCTGGCTTAGCGGCCAGCTGCGGACAGCTGGAGGGGGAAAAGGGCCAGGAGCCTGAGAAGCTGAGGAATGGCCTAGCTCTTCCTCTCTTTAGGCCTCACATAGCTAAGAGGTGGGCAGCAGAAATCTTAACCATTGGACATAATAATGATAATAATTACAGCAATGCTTTTTATTTTTTCATAGAGTATTAGGGTTTGCAAAGTGCTTTTACACTCATAATTTTATGGGTGGATACAGCAGCTGAAGGAGTTGAAATTAGACCACAGGCAGAGTGGAAGCTAGGAAAGTATATGATTATGGAAGCACATGCATACCCATATGTGTGTGGCCTGTTCTGATCCCTGGAAGTAAGAGCACACTGCTCTTGTCCTTATTATCAACTCTCAGGCTCTGGTGAAACCGGGAGCTCTGTCTGCTGCTTAAATTCATTTTCACTTTGTTCATTTACTGGCAGAATGAGCCGTCCCCCTTTTCCTCTCATGACCTCCCCAAGTATGCATGCACTTTCCAACCTGGGGTGGCTTCTGAGCATTGAGAAAAACTCCAGAGGAGATATCATCATATTCATCTTGAAGAGCCACGGGATTCTCACCCAGTAAGGTTACTTGGACACTGCCTGGCTCTACCCACAGCATCAGAGCTTTCCCTCTGCCAGCCTTTTAGCCAGGATTCCCTTTTCTCAGGGTGGGCTGAGAAGGTCCAGATGAAAGCAGGTTGTGTTGTTGGCCATGGTGGGGAGTTGAGGCTGATGGAGGCACTAGAGGAGGCAATTCTCAGAAGGGGAGCATTAGAGAATCTAAAAGCTGGCAGGAGAGGGCAGGTGGGGTACTGAGGATTCTTTTCTCCCATGGGGGAGCAGAGATCGGTAGAGAACAAAGCAAATACAGAGACCTTGGGGTCTGATTCCCATCTCCCCACAGGCTCTCTCAGTTCAGGGTAGGAGAGTGTTCTGTTGGAATCACCCTTGTTTCCTGCTGTGGGAGTGGTTGGGGAAGTCAGTTCTGCCCAGGGGCCATCCGGATCACAGTTGGTCTCTGTTTGCCCACCCTTGGCCTAACAGTCTGGTGGAGGATTGAGTAACCCGGGGTAGGGGAATGTGGGCAGACTCTGGAGCTCAGATTGGGAACAGGAAAGAGCCAGGGCAAGTCAGGACATTGCCTTGCCTGGCCTTTCCTCCCCAGGGTCTGTGGTCCTGTCTTTGTTTCCTTCTCTGTCATCTCCTAGTACATCTTCCTTCCATCTTCATGAATGTGTGGGCCTGCTTCACTTAATCTCTTCCTCCCCCACCCCCAGTATAGGAGGAGGGGGGACATAAGCAGGTAAACATCAGGGGGGTGGGGCTAAAGAGAAGCTCAGCCAAGCAGTGAGAGAAGGAAGTGGCTTATTCCTTCCTACTTGACCAGCATTGCACAACTGATGAAACACTTTCCCAGAGGTCATCTCATTTAATTCTTATAACAACTGTGGCAAAGATAAGCATTTTAATTTCCATTTCACAGGACAAGATAAGTTAAAGGTTAAATTACTTGCCTAGGATCCCACAGCTAGTAAGAGGAGGCGCTGTATTGCAAACCCAGAGCTTTCGCTATATGTTGCCGCTGCTTCTCTCAGTAAACCTAACACAACAGTTTGTCCTCTCTTATCCTTCCCTTCTTCCACCAGCTTCTGCTCAATGGCCAGTGGAGGCAGTTAGGCCTTAATCACCCCCTTCCAGAATATACAAGGTCCAAAGTATAATAGTAAGAAGAAAAACAAGCTACCTCCTGGACAGTGTAGAGCTTAGATATCTCCCGGAGCTTCATTCCTTTATCAGCTGGCCAAGACTCTGACAACCAGGTTCTTCCCTGGGACCTCCTCCTGCTCCTGAAATGGGAGGACACATTTTGTCAAGATAAATGGGCTAAAGAAGGTGGTGCCTACTTTTAGATTCTGACAGGAATTTTTGTTTTTGTGTATCTAAAAAAATAATTTATGAAAATCTGGACGATATCACTGGATAAAAGTCGAGAGGGGGGTTGGAATGAAGAAGGGGTTTGGAAAAAGGAGTGGGAGATGCCAAGGAGAAAGGAAAAGTGTTCACTGTTTGAGAGGATACAGAAAATGGAAATTGAGTCAAGCTGCAGGACAAGCTCCCTAAACACAGGTGTTTTTAAAGGTAAAACAGTTTTCTCTACCCTTCTACTTCCCTACCCCACTCCCAGTCCCCTTCCTTGTTATTCATTTCTTAAGAGGAAGAAGAGGGTACAGGGTGAGGGGTAGGGTAACAAACAGCAAGTGGAATGGAAAGTGGACTGAAGACTGAGGTGGGAGACAGAAAAGGGTTGGAGGGGCAGTCCTCTTCTTTCATAGAGACCTTGTAAGTATGAGTTTGGGGACTGAGAGGTCCCTTGACAAACCCTGAGGTTCAAGCCCTAGGTTTATTGGTACCCAGGCTGGAGTTTGGCCCTTTAAGATTCTATCTTAGCTTTGCAGCACCCTCCCACCCCAGGCCTGGGAGCAAAGCTGAGGTCCCAGCCCAGCCCTAGTCTCTGGGCCCCTAGTGGGCGGAGCCTTGAGGCCAGGATTCTGCCCGCTGGCTGTCTGTTTTTAAATTTAGCACATTCCTCAGCCTTGGCTGCCCAGTGGGGGTAGGTAAGTCTGGAGTTCTGGAGCCAGAAGCTTCTGGACTACTGGTTTTGGGGAGTTCCCATAGGATCCCCTGCAGGTGCAAGCTGGAGGAGCCAGCCTTAGTCCTGGGAAAGTTCTTTCTGCTTTCTAATTTCCACCCAGCCTGGACTGGGCATGGTTTATTTCCTCTCCTTTTTTTTTTTTTTTTTCCTGGCCTTTGCTATATAAGGATTCTAAACAGAAAATGGGTGAAGAAAGAGGTGAAGGAGTTGCTAGGCAGGAGGGGAAGCCAGAGGGGCAGTATTGGGGCGGTGCTGGGGGTGAGGAGCCCAACCAGCTCAGCCAGTGGTGAGGCAGTGGAGCCCAAAATAGTGGCAGAAGCTAAAATTGGCACCTACAAGAGTGCTGAGTTGAGCTTGAAACCTGCAGCCTGGCCCTGCTGAGCCAGGGCACAGAGTTGCTGGATCTGGGTTGGGTTTCCTTTCCCTCCTCCCACACCTTTTGGGAACAGAATCTGGCAGGACTCTGCAAACAGAATGCTCTATGCTGGGTTCTCTGTGCTTCTGGTTTCTCCAGAGAAAGAGACCCTGAGAGGCAGAAATGAACTGCAATGTTGAGTCATTGTAGTTACAGTGGAGGAGAATTTTCCCAATAGCAGGAAACTCACAAAAAGTGGAGGGTGGCTCAGGCTAGGGCAAGGGGTTGAGAGAGATGAACGTCCCACCTCACCCCCCATCTTGTGAAGAGACTGGCTGTGCCCTAACTGCCCCTGACTAGGGCAGGCTGGTTTCTAGTCTTTCGGTTTCAGCTTAACTTGCAACAGAGCGAACTGGGGTTAGACACATGGAAGGACTTCCTCAGCTTCTTAGCCTTTAGTAAAGGTGGCAAATACCACCCTCCTCCCTCAAAGTGTCTGGCAGAAGCGGAGCTAGGAGGAGGATGGAAGGCCCCAGAGGGGTGGGGGCTTGTGGGAGAATTCCCTCCTCTCTATTCTTCGACCTCTGAGAGTGAATCCTCCCCTTCACGCCGACTAAAGACCCAGCCTTTAGTTCCCCTTTGATGTTTCCACCCCCTCGCCACCCCTACCCCCAATCGTAAAACGGGTCTGTGGGCTCAGGCCTGCTTTGTTGGGCTGCGTAAGCCAGGAAGGAACTGGTCCCGGTTCCCTGGAGAGCTGGGGGCGGATGGAATCCTCCGGCCTTCGAGTCTTAAAGAACTGAAGTAATGCGGTGGGGGAAGGGAGGGAAAAGGGAAGACCAGTGTCCAGCGAGGGCCAGAGCTGGGTTTTAGGAAAAGCAGAGTTAAGAGGCGGGTGTTGGGCTAGAGGGCGCCCCCAGGCGCTAGAGAGGAAACAGGCAGAGGGGCCCCTCAAACCTGTCCAGGGACCTTTGTACTCCTCCAAGCTGCCCCAACTCAAACCCCGGCGTCCCGTCCCGCGCGCCGCCACCCCGCCCTCCCTGCGCTCCGCCTCTCCCCTTCCTGAGCTGGGGCGGGGGAGGAGACTCGGGTTTGAGGAACTGGCTCTGGGTGCCAGGCGAGGGGAGTCAGACTTCCTGTCCCCGAGATCGACGCGTGCGGGCCGGACCCCTCCCCTAGCCGTCCCCCAACAATAGCTGGACGCTTGGGTCCGCGCCGCGTTCTTCCCGGCACCCCCCATCCGATTATGTCTCGGATCGAGTCCCTCACGCGGGCGCGGACCGAGCGGAGCAAAGAGCTGGCGAGCAAGGTGGGCTCCGAAACCCCTCTCCCTCCGCCGCGGTCCTCAGGGTACCCTCCGACCCCCTGCACCCGCGACGCACCCTCTGTACCCCGCCTGCTTTCTGGGCGCCAAAATCGGGCGGAGCGGTGGATCAGAGAGTGGCGGGACGGGGTGGGTGGGGACTGAGTGAGTGGGGAGGGGGTTGGGGGAGCAGTAGATGCGACCCGCACCTCCAGCTCCACCGCGCGGATTCTGTGCTGGGATCCTGGGAGAGAGCGGTTCTGGGGTTTGGTCGCCTCCGATCCGGCGGGACTGAGTGTTTTAGGCCGCTCGAAAGAAAGTTGCTCCGGTAAGAGACGGAGCGGGAAGAGAGAGGTATGTGTATCGGAGGTGGGGGCGGTGGAAGCTCTCCGGCCCCCATCTCCACTGGGGTTCCGCCAGGTTGCTCACGGTGATGTCCCTCCACCC